CTTCATCTGAACTCAACCCATCATGCCTAGCACCAAAGTCATGGGATACATATTTCTAGAGCACCACATAAGGATAAACACTGGGAAGAACAACAGGCAGTATTATCAAATTGTTTAAAAGAAAACAACAACAACTTGATATTAATGATCCTAACCACAGTGGAAGGCAAGGTAAAGATCTCTGCTGGCCTGGTTACTGCACCTTCTTCATCCATTCCTTGAGAAAGATAGTCACTAAGGGGTAAGGAAGGAATCTTTTTTTTTTTTTTTTATTTACATGTATTGGTGGTTTTTCCTGCATGTTTCTGTGTGAGGGTGTCAGATCTTGGAGTTATAAACAGTTGTTAGCTGCCATGTGGGTGCTGGGAATTGAACCCGAATCCCTTGGAAGAACAGTTAGTGCTCTTAACCACTGAACCATTTCCCCAGCCCCCAAGGAAATCTTAATTAATCTAGTACAATGGTTCTCAACCTGTGGACCCCTTGAGGGGGTTGACACTTTCACAGGGGTCACATATTAGATATCCTGCATATCATATATTTACATTACAATTCATAACAGAAGCAAAATTACAGTTATAAAGTAGCAACAAAAATAATTTTTTTCTTTTCTTTTTTCTTTTTTTTTTTTTTGGTTTTTCGAGACAGGGTTTCCCTGTGTAGCTTTGCGCCTTTCCTGGAACTCACTTGGTAGCCCAGGCTGGCCTCGAACTCACAGAGATCCGCCTGGCTCTGCCTCCCAAGTGCTGGGATTAAAGGCGTGCGCCACCACCGCCTGGCAACAAAAATAATTTTATATTGAGAGGGTCATTACAATATGAGGGTTGCAGCATTAGGAAGGTTGAGAACCACTAATTTAGTGGATAATTTTTAAGTGAAATTGTTGCTAGTTATTTATCCTACTTAACATACTATAAACATATTAAATAAAGGGTTTTAAGCCTAACCATTTCCCTCACACCAAACTGTGGACTTTGGAAACTCTTGCATTAGAAAGTGACACAGAGCCGGGCGGTGGTGGCGCACGCCTTTAATCCCAGCACTCGGGAGGCAGAGCCAGGCGGATCTCTGTGAGTTCGAGGCCAGCCTGGGCTACCAAGTGAGTTCCAGGAAAGGCGCAAAGCTACACAGAGAAACCCTGTCTCGAAAAACCAAAAAAAAAAAAACAAAAACACAGAAAGTGACACAGAAAACCTTCAAGTTTTCCAGTAGAATTGAACCTCTCCAAGCTTTCATACTAAGTTTAATCATTTCTCTAATATTTGTATAACTTCAGTGACTACAGTCTCCAAAAGTCGCTTCTAGATAACCTCCTAGCTATTTAAACAATATTCTCTGGTCCTATATATTTACATGGCTAGTCACAGCACTCAAGGCAATAAAATCCAGTTCTTAAATACAATTTACTGATAAAGGAATTTGGGATTAAAAAATTATAAGCAGGTCTTCCTTGTGCCCATGATAAATAAGAATCCTGCTGTTACACTGTTAACGGAAACTTTAAAACACTGTTATTTCAAAAGTTGACAAAGGTCAACTTTTTATAATTCCTGATACTGGGGAGCCAAAGACAGGAGGACTGAAAATCTGAGGCTTATCTGGGCTACACAGAGAATGAGTTCAAGGCCACCCTAGGCAACTTAGTGAGACCATTTCTCAAGGCTGAGATATACCTCAGTGGTAAAATACTTGCCTAGCATGTGCCAGGCTCTTGGTTCACTCCCCAGTACCAGAAAAAAATGACATTAAAAATTATATATGTATAATTTCATATATAATATATAGTTGTTATTATATAACTGAGCAGTGGGATACAGAGCAGAATGAGGTTGAGCCTATTCTGTGTGTCTTTTGGATATATAATGTACACATGAATTGCTTGCCTTCCTGAATATATTATATGCATACTTAAGTTTTTAAACCTAAAAGCTAAAGTTTTATACTTTTACAAATACTATAATTTTATCTCAAGATGTTAATACTATTAAAGTGATTAATAAGGCAAACTGTCAGTGGGTTTTTGTACTATGCCTGTAGAGCTCAGCACTGTGAGTCCAGAGAGAAGATCTAGCACATGACCAGTTGGAAACTGTTCATTCACAGGACAAGATGGGTTTAAATGATTTTTTATTCCAAAAATTCTAAAGCAGTCTAAATGCTTTATGGCACATAAACTCACAAAGAAGTGGATTTGCCTATGAGCCAAGATGTGTGTTTCAGGATGATGTTATTTCTTGGTAGCTAATCTTCCTGCCTTGGCCTACCAGCAATGACTGGATGAACACACCATGGAAGATACACGTCATTCATTTCTCTCTTCACCATTGTCCTTGCAGAAAGGTCTCCTTGGATCCTTCCAACCGGAGCTCCACAGCTGACGCAAAAGTAACTGAATGTGCCCAGTTTCTGAAACCCCTGACATCTAACAGGCATGGAGAATGCATTCCTTTCCAAGCCTGTGAATTCCACCTCTCCACCACTGTGGGATCACAGCACCCAGCCCAGTGTGTCTCATCCAATATTTATCAAGCGCCTGTTGTGGGGTGCCCATGCTGTGAATCTGCCCCTTGGAGGAACCTGTACCAAGGGACCATTAATTCTCTCATTCCAAAAGGAGCTGTACCAACCAACCTTCCGCCTCCTTTTTCTTCTGTTTTTCTCTTCAGGGAACCCTCTCAAGCAAAAGGGGTAAAGAAGTTTCATCCCTGAGAAAGGAAGAGACAGCTGGCTTTTACAGCTTAGAAACTGCTCTTGCGACAGTTTTGGAAGACATAGCTTCCTTTCAAAGGTACAAAGAGGATTAATACATTATTCCTATTCTCAGTAAAAACTACTGTTTGGTCATCTTAATTACAGCACCTAACCAGTAAAAAAGCAAGTTTGTTATCAGGCCACTTTTCATTATACTTCCAGAATGGAATGCAATAATGGTTTTCAAAAGAAGGAAAAAGATGCCCTCATCAGAAGTAACAACCCAAACCCACTAACTGAAAACATGAACGTCCAAGGAGCAGAGGGGGGCAGCGCCCCACATTAAGCAGCCCACTAGGAAGACACAGCGGTGCGGATACTCCCCTCATAAATACCGAACCGAATACATTTCTGGTCGCCGACAGGCAATTCCTGTGCCACTACAATCTAGCGTCCACAGCCCCATCTGACACCTTCTCTCGCACACAGTCACCACACAGTGATTTCCCTACTACCTATACGGGCGCGTCAAAATTCACCTCCAGCCCCTGATGTCCCAGATGACTCCCACAGCAGCAGACGCCAGGCAATCGGGGCATTCGGAACTTCGTCACCCAGGCGCACGGCGCCTTGTGTGGAACTCTGAGCCCTCGGGAGCGACACGGACCACCAAAAAGCAGCCTCCCTTACCCGGGTCACAGTGTCCACTCCCTGGGAGCGCAGTGTCTCCTTTGCAGGGCACAAGGTGCTCTCCACAGGGCACAGCCTCCCCTATGTGGGGTACAGAGTTAGGGTCTCCCTCCTCGGAGCACAGAGTACCATCCGCAGGTTACAGGGTTCCCTCCCGGTGACGCATTCTCACCTCTGTGGAGCACTCGGTCCCCCTCCTCTGGGCACAGTCTCCCCTCCGCCAAGCACATGGTCCCTTCTGCAGGGCACCAAGTCCCCATCCCCTAGTACATCTTCCCCTCCTTGGAGTACGGGGTTCCCACCCCCCCGGGGCTCAGCCTCCCTTCTGCTCCGCACAGGTCCCCTCTGGACCAGAGGACACAGGATCCACTCTCTGGACGCAGCCACTCCTCTGCCAAGCACATGGTCCCTTCTGCAGGACACAGGGTCCCCATCCCCGGACGAAGCTTCAGAGTGACACAAGGTGTCTCCTCCCTTCTGCTGGGAACAGGTCCCCTCTCTAGGATACAAGGTCTCCATCCCCGGGCGCAGCTTTCCCCCTGCAGGGCACAGGGTCCCCCATTCCGGGGCGCAGCCTCCCCTCTGCTGGGCAAAGGTCCCCTCCCGGGGTACAGGATCCCCTCCCCGGAGCTCAGGTCCCCTCCGCTCGGCACATGGTTCACCTCCCCGGGCGCAGCCTCCTCTCTGATGGGCACAGGTCCCCTCCCTGGAGTAGAGGGTCCCCTCCGCGGGCACAGCCTCCTGTCCGGGAGGCGCACTCTCGGCTCACCGCGGCACAGCGCATCCCACGCGGACGCGGCGCCTCCAGGAGCGGACAAGCCGTCTTGGGCGCAGCCTCCTCCCGCAGCGCAGCGCAGCGCATCCGAGAGGACGCGGCCCGCCCTCCCCGCACCGCCCGGGATGCGCCAGCAACCCCGCAGCCCGCCGCGGAGGGCCCCGGGGACCGGGGTCTATAGGGTCTGGGGTCGGTGGTCAGGTCCGCGCCCGCCGGCGCTGCGCGGCCTCAGCCACCTGCCCCGCGCTTACATAAACGCGGCCGCCCGCGTCCCCGCCGCCTTACCCTCGGGTCACGCTGCGCCCGCGGGCTGCCGGCGTCTGGCTCTCGGCGCTTCGGCGGGCTCGGCTGGCCCCGCGGCCCCGGCCAGGAGCCCCCCTCGCCGCCGCCTTCAGCCTCAGCCACCTCAGCCTCAGCCGCTGCCTCAGCCTCTGCCTCAGCCTCAGCGCCGGCGGCTCCGCCCCCTCGGCTCGCCCCGCCCCGCCCCAGCCGCCGCAGCCCCGCGCGCGCGCGCGCGCGCGCAGGGGCAGGGGTGGAGTCGGCGCCCGACGCCGACGTGCGCGCGCCCGCGCCTCCGGGGGGGGGGGGGGGGGTGTGTGGGCCCGCACCGGCGTCTCAGCTTGCCTACGGCGGCAACCGCGAGGGCTTAGCGGTTAGAACCCAAAACAGATCTTGTGTCGCTAGGGAGACTCGAAGGGGAAGGGAGCCTCGGTCGCTGAACTGAGAAGATCGACGGGGGCGGGATTCTAGAACTCGCACTGGGGAGACCCGAGTTGAGCGGGAGCCCCAGATGGGAACTGAGTGGACAGGTGGGGGGTGGGGGGTGGGGACCAAGAACCCTAAAGATGCTGAAGAAGCTGGTCAAGGAGCCTCGGAGGGAGGAGGCTCCTCCTCTGAGAGGAGCCACTGAAGCGCAGCAGTGACTGCCCCCCGCTTGAAGACCCACTGCATCTAGTGCTTGGTACCACGGAATCCTGCAGGAATCATCCCTGGGCCTTCCTCCACTCTTGAGAGATGGCCCTGGTCACACCCCCCTCCGTAGACGTTGAAAATAAATAGGCAGAGGACCAGGGACATGATTTTGTGAATCAACGTGTCTAGTGTTGGTCACTGGGAGAGTCTAAGGAACTAGGAATGGTAGTAGGTTTTTAACTTAGACCCCAGGGTCAAGTTCAGGCTCTGCCACTTCTTAGATATACCAGACATCTCATTTACTCGCTCTGACTGTTTCCTCATTTGCTTAAAAATTAAAAAATAAAGGACTAGTAAAAGATGAGCGCGGGTAAAGCGCTGCTAGGATGTAGTCAGCATTCTGTGTGGCCTCTCAGCTGACGATCTCATCCTAAGGTGCCATGCCAGAATGGACCTGAAGAGGTCCAGAATCTGGAGCATAAACTGACCGCAGGAGAGGTGCTGGGGCAGCGGGTCAACGTCTGCTCCCATCACTTAGCATAACAGAAGAGCCTTTCCCTCGGACCAACCCTCCAATGAGTTCTTCAGCCTTCCTAAAGGCTGGGCACCAGGCAGTCTCTACAGGGGTCCTTGTGGGCAAGTAAGTAGAAATCATCATTCTGGGAATGCCTACTAGGACTTCAACCTTAACATGCAAATTTGTGCATAAGGGCAGTGTGTCTGTTTCTGGGTATCAAGCTATCCCAGAACTTAATCACTTAAACAGTCATGGTTGGTGAATCTGGCAAACAGCAGCTTATGCTGTGTTCGGCTGGTTTGGTTCATCTCTGCTTCATGGGTGATCTCACCCCCATAGGCCATGTGTTGTTACCTACCCACTGTTAGTAAGCTGGCTCATGTTGGTTGCTTCTCGTAATGGCTGTGGTCTACCTGCAAGAGAGCAAGTTCCAGCACACAGGACCTTCCCAGCCACTGCACACATCACCTGTTTTCCTGTGACTTACTGACTAAATTGTAGATGCTGGACTGACACATAAATATGAGAGCCAGAGATGTGGACAAAGGAAATACGTTCAATCAGAGGCCATCACTTTGACAGACCTTTGGTTCGTTGTGGACTGTTATAGCAAAAACAGACCTATGCCAGTCTCATCCAGGAGTAGCTAGGATAGTCTATTTCTCTGCTGTGTACACTGCTAAAAAACTGGCTTGGAGTGAGGATAACAGGGCACATAGACAGAGCAAGAACATGGCATTCTGATGGCCTCTCAGGTGTCTGGTGGTATCCTATGCATGGGTGGGTCAACTGATTAGGAAGACATCTTCACTTTCATAGTCTAGAAGTAGATCATGTCAGGATGCCTGATAAATGGCATACCTGGGAAATGGTCCAGTGTAAGGAGCATGTATGTTGGGCCTGAACTGTGCAAATCCATTATGCCACAAAGCTGTGAGACTGGACAGATTGTTCACCTTCCATCTGTAGGAGAGATATGTATCCACCTAATAACCTGGTCCATCACTGGTGACCAGAGAGACTTGATGATGGTGGAGTCTTAGGAAGCATAGTGGATACAGATGTGAATTATGAGATCCTGGAAATACAGTCTATTGAAAGACACAGGAGGCCTGTGGCATTCGAGCTGCTCCTTTAGCATGAGTGAAGATGGTGATGAGGGTGCCCAAGGTGGAGGAAAGAATATTTTTCACCCCCAGGAATTAGGAGAACTGCTGTCAGTATTCCTGTGGCGTCATTTTGATTGGCCCCCTTAGATCTTACACCCTCCCTCAACTACCAGGAGGTGAAATATATTGAGTGATTAAGCTGCAGGGGATAAACAGATCTGTGGCCTGCTTTTGTCTACTTCGCAACCTAAGAAATAATTTTACAATTAGCATTGTAATGGGGAGTGGAAATATGCCACAGGCTTATGTGGTCTACAAGGCTTAAAATATTCTCCATCTGTCCCTTTACATAAAAAAAAAAAAAAAAAAAAAAAAAAAAAAAAAAAAAAAAGGCCAAGTAGGAGCTACTTTATAGCTGGGAGTTAGATCAGCCACCATCACGCCATCGAAGTATGTGGTGCTTCTAGGGAAGAGAGTAAGTAAAGGCAGCAGCAGTAGTAAAGAATGCTAACACAGGGTCTCAGGTTAGATGCAGAGAGGTTAGGTCAGGCGAAACTAGAAAGAGTTGTTTGGGGAAGTAGATTTCAGTAAGACTAAGAAGGATAGATTGATGCCACAGCCTGAGGGGGAGGAGCAGAACTCACCAAGGACTGCCAGCTGGTGCTGGAGGAGATGGCGGTGTGTGTTGCAGCAGGGGGGAGATAGGCTCCAAGGTCCTTCTGGGCTCCCTTGAGTGTGCAAGTCTGTCAGATGCTCAAATAACACCGTCAGGGAGGTCGGTAGCCGCACACAAGGGAGCAGAATCAGAATGAGGCCATCCATTTAAGACCCAAGAAAGTGGAAGAGGTCACCAGCCCCTGAAGAGAGCGGAGAGGGGAGAAAAGAGAAGCTAGTACAAAGGAGGACCCCAGAGACAGGAGCCAATAGAAGAAAAGATGAGAACCCATTGAACTTGAAAACAGGAGGGTATAGTGACCTTGAAGACTCAGCAGTGTATTGGGGACACTATCAACTACAAAGGGAGAACTTCAAATCTCATGGCCCATTTTCTTAAGTTGTATTTTTGTGGTGCTGGAGATCAAACCCTGGCTCCCATGGAGCATTCTACCACTGACTCACACTCTGACCTCAAAACCTAAGAAGAATGACAAAGTATAGACTAGCTTCACTGATAAAATCCCAAATGATTACAGAACCAGAGAAGAGTTACGGAATGATTACAGAACTCAGCAAACTAAACTCCAGTCACAAAGTAACAGCATCATGTCTAAGTTACATTTTTTTCCCAAGAACATGACTTTGTGTTAACACTTTTACATTTACTAATCACATCAAAACATGGGCAGCATTGTATAATAATCTCAGTAGCTGCAGAAAGGGGTTTTGAGAAGCCAACTTTGGTGGATCAGACCTGGAATCCTAGCACTAAGCAGGCTGAGGCAGGAGGATCACTGCAAGACTGAGGATAGCCTGGGCTTCAGAATGAAACCCTATCTCAAGAAAGAAAAAAAAAAAGGTAATAAAAGGCTTCTAATAAAATCTAGCATCATTTCCATTTGGAGAACTTGTAAACAGAGGCAAAGCTTTTCTGTCCTGACCACCTGGTCCTAAATAAACATACAAAAGCTTATATTACAAAACGCTTGGCCGATAGCTCAGACTTATTACTAACTAGTGCTTACATTTAAATTGACTCATTTCTATTAATTGATGTGTTGCCCCGTGCCCTATGGGTTTACCAGTCCTCTGGCATCTTGCTTCTTGGGCAGCTCACTGGTGTCTCTCCCGACTCCACCGTTCTTCATCCCAGTCCTCAGTTTGATTGTCCCACCTAACTTTGTCCTGCTTGCTGTAGGCCAAACAGCTTTATTAGTAAACAATGTGAGTGATACATATTTACAGAGCACAGAAGGGTCATCTCACAGCAAGAACTACTCTTTGAAAATTAAGAATAGAAGAGAGGTCTGAGGAAGGATATATTAGGATTCTCTAAAGCAGCGATTCCCAGCCCATGGGTCACAACCTCAAACGAGCCTTTGACATTTGACATTTGACCTAAGATCATTGGGAAACACAGAAATTTGCATCACAATTCATAACAGCATCAAAATTACAGTTATGAAGTAGCAACAAAGATAATTTTATGATTGGGGGTCACCACAACATGAACTGTATTAAAGGGTCGCAGCATTGGGAAGGCTGAGAACCACTACCCTAAAGGAACAAACTGGTGGAATAAATATATATTACTGTCTGGGTTTGCTTTCTGTTTTTTTTTTATGATAAACACCATAACCAAAAGCAACTTAGGAGAAGAAAGAGTTTGTTTCAGCTTATACTTCCAGGTATACAGTCCATCATTAAGGGAAATCAGGGCAGGACATGGTGGGTCACAGACATTTGTAACTCTAGTTCCAGGGAATCCAGTGCTCTCTTCTGACCTTCACAAGAACGTGGTGAGCACACATATATGCAGGCAAAATACACATAAAATTAATAAATATAGCCAGGCAGTGGTGGCATACACCTTTAATTCCAGCACTCAGGAGACAGAGGCAGGTGGATGTCTGAGTTCGGGGCCAGCCTGGTCTACAGAACGAGTTTCAGGACAGAAAAACCCTGTTTGAAAAAACAAAAAAAAGTAAATGTAATTTTTAAAGTTTAATTTGTTTATGTGTCTGTCTTTGTGTGGCTATGCACACACAAGTGCAGTGCCTGAATAAGGAAGTTGTGAGTGACCCAGGTGAATGCTAGGAACTGAACTTCAGTCCTCTGCAAAAGCAGCAATTGCTTTTATCCACTGAGCCATCCTTCCAGAAAATAGATATTCACAAAAACATCTCTTTATAGTAACTACAAAAGTATGACTTAAGAATAAACCTAGACAGTATATGATCTTTGAGAAGAAAAAGCATTTTTAAAAAATCAGTGAAAGAGCAACTAAATGTATAGCCATACACTGTGTTAATGGCTAAGCAGATGTCACTATCAGAGTCACTGGGATCCTTTTAAATATTCTACCGTGGGTTCCATGCAGCTCGACCGGTTCTAAGATACGTAATGGGAGGCTGAGGATCTAGAATAGCCAAGGCTCTTCTAAAGAAGAAAATAAGGCCAAGGATTTGCACTTCCATTAGCCTGGTGTGCTGCTCAGTTACCGTAAAGACCTTCGTGCAGAAGTGGATGAAGTGACCAAAGAAAACAGGCACACACATATGTCGATAGATGACAAGGTATTAGAGGCCAAAAAAGATGACCAAATAAGTGATGCTAGGACATTTGTCCACTCGAGGGGAAATGGAATTACAAACAAACTGTATACTATGACTAAGAATCAGTTCCAGGTGAGGTCAAGTTTGCATTTCTGTATTACCGGTGAGGCTGGACAACTTTACATACTTTTCCTTCTGTAAAGTTTTTATATTTTACCCATTTGGCTTTTTATTATATTTATAGGTTTTTGTTGTTGCTGTTGTTGTTGTTGTTTTACATTCCTGCCGGAGTAAGACACCCTGCCTTGAAAACTAAAGGACAATCCCTGTAAGGAACCTGCATCTCCAAACAGTAACTATAAGAGAAGTGACCTAACAGACACCACAGATTCTTCGTAGGGTAAACTGAGTAAAGCAGTGGTTTAAAACAGCAATGGTGCCGTTGTTGAACTAGATGCAAAATTTGGCTTTTTACACCAACTTTAAAATAAAGGACCTGAACCAGACAGGAAGATTTTAGATTTGTTTGTTGTTTATTTGTCTGTTTTTTTTAGGACAGGGTCTCACTTTGTAGACCTGACTGGCCTGGAACTCACTATGTAAAAAAGGCTGGCCTTGAACTCATGGAGACTGACCTGCGTTTGATTCCTGAGTGCTGGGATTAAAGGCATGCACCGCCACCCTGGCCTTTTTTCGTTATTTTAATAACCAGGTTAACAGTCTTTCTTGAGACACTAACTAGCAACTGAAGAGGGCAGTGGGAACCTGTGCTGCTTCTTTGCCTCCTCTGAGAGCTGTTCTCAAGTCGGCCTGAGGGACAGCAGATTCTCGGTTGGTGTGTAAAGCCTATTGGGACACACACCACAGTATGTGCAAGGTCCTTGTCGGTGGTTTTTAACCTAGAACTTCAGGGTTCAACCAACCGTCCTGTGCAAACCACATTGTACATACACAGGCTACAGATGGTGCTACAGAAGTACAGTCTGTGTATTTTTTGTACATTCTTATTGAGACATAATATACAGAATAATATGCATGTGTTGATAAATTAGCCTGAAGTGTACACACCTGTGAAAACTGCCCAAGGCAAGGAGCAGACATGACCGCCACTCTGGGATCCATTGTGTACTTACAAGCACTCCCGCCTCTGTGTCCCCAAGATAACCTTGCCCTGATTTCCACCCCATGGATTATTGATGCCCTCTTTACCCTTACATGAGTGGCACCACACAGCAAATGCTCTTCAGTGCCTTGCTTCTTGCATTTAATCCTGTGCAAGCCACCTTCCCTAGTACAACACCTTCTTGTTACCATGTAGCCACATTACATTAAGTTTCCACAATGTATTCAGCTGCTACCGAGGAGGCTTCATCTGCTGCCTGCTTTTGCTGTTACATCTAATCTTTCTATGAATGCTCCCATCCATGCCTCCAGACGTACATTCTCATGCTCCAGCTTTGAAACACAAGCGGCAGGAACCCTCTCTGCTCTCATAGGCAATGCCAATTTCCCATGTTTTCTACCAGCAAAAAAAGCAGGCTTCTGGCCACTGTTCCTTGCACCGTGAGCTGCCCATGGTTTATTGCGGTTACTTGTCTAACAGCCGTGGGGCGGAGCATGGGAGCATGTTGATGGGCTAACTCGCCATATGTGAACACTTCTTGGTGAAGGGCTACGAGGTTGGTTTTTTCCTTACTCCATTCTTGTCTGTCTGGACACAGACGCTTGCCAGTTGTGTTATAAATATCTTCTCTCACTCTCTGGCTCGCTTTTTCATAATCTTAATGGCCTCTGATAAATAGGCGTTCTTAATTTCAATGTGATCCAATTTATCTGTCTTTTTCCTTGTGGTTAGTGTCTTTTGTGTCTTGGCTAGGAAATCTCAGCTACTTGTGTGATCATAAAGATAGGCTACTATTAACTTCTTGATGTGCCCTTACCATCTTCGACTTTCTAGCAAAAGTGCAACTTTTTCTCTGACTGTGTGAGGTAGAAGTTCAGATTCAGCCTGTTTCTATTTCGTGTCCAGTTAGCCCATCATTTATTGCATTGGTACCTTCATAGTAAATCAAGGGCCCCTATGTGGCAGTGGTTGCAGCGCTTCCCTCCCCCGCCGGCTACTTTTCTTGGATGTGGTCACCTGTCTGTCTCTGTACCATTACTTACTTGCCTCCTTAAACACTGAGGCTTATAGTAAATGTTTTGACTACAGCATCATCATCTAGTTGTTTTTTTTTTTTTTTTAACATTTTCTTGGCTGTTGTTGATATTTTATATTTTGTGAGGACTTGGCTTGTTTCGAGATGGAGCCTAACTATGTATCACTGGTTGGCCTGGAAGTTGCTTTAGACTGAGCTGGCTTTGAACTTGTGCCAATCTGCCACCTTTACCCAGGACTGGAATCATATCCCCAACAGTGTGCCCAGCCCCCACAGGGTTGTTTTTTTTTTATGATCTTTCAGGTTCATCAAAACGCCTGCTAAAATTTTTATTAGAATTACACTGACATCACCAGGCCTCATGGTTAGGAGGCTGAGGCAGGGGGATTGCAATCAAGGCCAAGGCCTGTCTAAGATAGTTTAAGGCCAGCACGAGCAACTTAGACCATATATCAAATTTTAAAGTTACAGTCCAGAAGAGATGGCTCAGTGGTTAAGAGTACTGGCTACCACTTACAGGTGTTTCATTCCCAACACCTACACAGAGGCTTACAACCATCAGATCCATTCTCAAGGTATCTGATACCCCCTTTTCACCTACACGAGTGCCAAGCATGCATGGGGTACACAGATATACATGCAGGTAAAGCACTCACACATAAGTGAAACTTTGTAAAGTGTTTTTTAATTACATATTAGGAATCCAGAGTGATGACTCAGCACTGAACAACACTGGCTACTGTTCCAGAGGACCCAGGTTCCAACCCCAGCACCCACATGGTGGATCACAACCCTCTGTAATCACAGTCCCAGAGGCTCTGACATGCCTCTGTAGAACCTAGGGCATGCTTGAATCTCTAGGTCCAACCTCTAGCATTGCCAAAAAAAAAAAAAATCACTTCTTAGTTATATGTCAATTTGTAAAGAATGAATATTCTCAGATTGTTAACAATGCCAATTCATGTTTATCTCTTTCCTTTCCTTTCCTTTTTTTTTTTCTCTGTGTAGCCCTGGCTGTCCCAGAACTTGCTCTGTAGACCAGGCTAGCCTCAAACTCACAGAGATCCAACTGTCTCTGCCTCCTGAGTGCTGGGATTAAAAGCATGTGCCACCACCACCCAGCTCATGCTTATCTCTACATTTATTTAAATATTCTTCAGTTGCTCTCACAAATTTCTGTGGAGATATTTTATATATGTAAGAAATAAAAAAAAAAAAGAAATAAAAACTAATGATCTGCTAGGCAGTAGTGGTGCACACCTTTAATCCCAGCACTTGGAAGGCAGAGGCAGGCCGATCTCTGAGTTCACAGCCTGGTCTACCACGTGAGTTCCAGGACAGCTAGAGCTACATAGAGAAACTCTATCTCAAAAAAGAGATAATGAGCCGGGCGGTGGTGGCGCACGCCTTTAATCCCAGCACTCGGGAGGCAGAGCCAGGCGGATCTCTGTGAGTTCGAGGCCAGCCTGGACTACCAAGTGAGTTCCAGGAAAGGCGCAAAGCTACACAGAGAAACCCTGTCTCGAAAAATCAAAAAAAAAAAAAAAAAGAGATAATGATCCATTTTCAAAAGTGCCTTAAGTCTACTTAGGTTCAGCTATTGCTGAAGTTCAAATGTTAAGCCAACCTTGCATTCAGGAGTAAGCCAACTTGGAACTAGCCTTGGAGATAGCCTAGAATTCCAGTGAGGGACCTCTCTGCTTGGCTACCCACCCAGAATCTTGCTTCATGGGCTACTGTGGAGGCATGAGAGTGATGGAAAATCCTTGGAGCTGCAAATGGACCTGTAGACTGGCTGCCAAGCACTTGCCTGCCCATTTGCTGTATCCCGATGATGCTATGGCCAGGCCTAGAAGAGGGCTGTCAAGCCCCATTTTCTAAGAAGTCATTGCAGGCGGCTCTGGATGTGGTGAAAATAGATCACTCACTCACTGGACATGAGTCCTTCCTCGGGTTTCAGATTTCTCATCAGAGAAGTTACAATTGTCTCAAAGGGAAGTCATCTATTTTAAACAAAGTAGATTAAAAATAAAATCTAAACATCAAACCAGACTTCTAAATGAAAGTCATTCTTTCAACTTCAACTGAGTCCCAGAGGCCCTTCTCACCTGTGGTGGGATGTGTCAGTCAGTGTTTAAAAGACCTGGATCTAAAGGGGAAAATATCTCCACCTGTCCAATGCCGACCACCATGGGCACATGCAATAGAGTTACTAATCAGAACTTCAGCAAGACTATGCAGGGGAGGGTCCCACTTGATTCGCTGTCACATCACAGGTGGGAGTGAGGGAGAGCCCCCCGAAATCCCCATGGCAAGGAGAAGACAGCCAGGCCTGCCTGGGAGAGGATTTGGAGAGGCACAGTGCAGCGCAGCGTGTGCAAGCCCAGGAGCAGGGCCAGCTTCCCTCTAGCTCGCTGGTTCCAGGGCCACATTCCAGAGAGATGAGAGCATTTACAGTCTGTGCATATCTGTTTGAGTCCCATACATACATACATCAGCCCACCTATTTTTGCTTTCAAGAATTCCACTTCTATTTTTGGTGGAATATAAAATCTTTGACTATTTCCCAAAATGGAAAAAACAGATTTCCTTCCTTGACTGTCTGGTAAGTAATATCTTCATTGCATTTGGTCTGTGCTGACAGGGAGCTCTGTGAACCCCTCCCTATCTCCCAAGTGGCAGCTGCCTGGGTACACCATACAGATGGCTTTCTCAAGCCCTACTTGCCAGTATCCCATAGGTGGACTTGAATTAGGGTATCAGGTGTGCCCTCGACTCCTCTAAGGCAGGCCCTCCCTGAGGATGCAGACCTCCAGCCCCAGAACATGCTAGGTGGGTAGGTGGGTGTTAGCAGAGAAAGGAAGAAAGGAGGAAGACATGAGGGGAGAAGGGGTACCCCCGCCTTGTATGGACTGCAGGATATGAGGTAGACACTGTAGGGGAGAGGAGTTCTTGTAATAAAGTTCATAATCAGAACTTCAGCAAGATTCAAGAGTGTGGGAGGTAGGGGTGTCCCGGTTCGGCCATCATCACCTTAGGGCTGGAGATGAGGGGGAGCCAGGAATAGGTGACTCAAACCCCTGCCATGCTGCTGAAAGAGGAAATGCCCAGCAGCGTGTCAATCTCATGTTCTGTGAGACAAGAGGGCTTGAGCCCTATGAGGAGACCTGTTCCTAGAGAGCAGCAGGGCTCGGCTATAGAGGCTCTCTCCTCACAGTTCCTTTACCAGAAAAGCCGGCTCCTCCATTCAGTCCTGTTTCCCAACAATACCCAGCCCTGTCCACCCCATTGCCAGACCCTCTTCTCACCAATCACTAATTTGTTTCATTAACATGCAATTTGCATACAGTAAACACAAGA